CCCACACACACAACACAAGCAGGTACACAGACGTCTCTCTCGCTCCGCCCACCCCACCCCTCACCGAACCGACACACGCACACACACCGCACCTGTACTATTGACAAACATGCATACTCTCACGCACGCAGGCAGGCAGGCAGCCATCCACGCACAGCATAACATAAGTGCACGAGGCCGGCATGGCATGCGCAAGGCAGACAGACACGAGCCACCATGCTCGCCTCACGCCGGCCTCGGCTGCCCTCGCCACCAGCGCAAAAAAGACGACGGACACGCTCATGAGGACAGCCAGCCTAGTTGCTGGCTGCGACGGGCTCCTTGGCCACGGCAGACGACCACGAACCTGCATGTCATTGCGCACAACACACACGCCAATCCAATCCAATACAATACACGTTTGCCACTCGAGCCAATCGCGTCAGTCAATTGCGTGGCTTACGTTTCTGTTCCTCCGACGTGTTGTCCGATCCGGCGGATGCGTTGGCGGCGGACACGACGGCGGGAGCAGCGGCAGGGACGGCAGCGGGGGCAGGCGGTGCTGTGGTCTGCACCTCCTCAGCCTCAGCGGCGGTCTCCTCGTCCCAGAACTTGTCCTTGGACTCGAGCTCCTTGAGCGTGCCGTCGTCCTTCCACTCGACATTCACGTAGAAGTGCTCCTCGTCCGCCGTGTCGACTGGTGGGATGTGGTTGGTGGCCAGGCCACAACACGCACACAGCGCAGCGCGACAGACAGATAGAGACAGGTCAGTGGTGTCTGCTGTCTGTCCTGTGTGTGTGTGTGTGTGCGTGTGTGTGCTTACTGAGCCATTTGGTGTGGTTTGCGCATCCGTAGAGGCGGACCTTGTCGCCGGGGTTGAAGATGCGGCTGCGGCCGCCGCGAGCGTGCTGCAGCTCTGTCGGCTCCTTGAACATACAGCGACGGTTGGGCTGCAACACACCGACCCGCATCACAGCACAGCACAGCACCACACACAGGGACATACTCCATGTGAGACACCTCCTGCCAGATCTGTGCGTGCAGCATCCCCCCCTCGCTGCCAGCTCACCGGGAACATGTTCTTGACCTTCGACTGCTTCGCCGTGGCCGACATCTTGATGCTGTGCTGGGCTGTGAGGGGAGGGAGAGTCACGAGAGATGCAGGGGGTGACCTGGCTGTGAGACGGAGAGCTGCAGGGACGCTGAAGTGATACCGCGAGGCTGGTGCTGCCTTCGAGGGACGAGAGCGAGACCTCGCTAACGCTCTTTCTCGACTTTTCGGTTCACTTTTCGGTTCTACCCTAGACCAGTGGTCGCGCTCCCCTAAGCTCGCGTAAACGCCCAACAGAGATGGCAGATAACAAGCCCTTACTGCTGTACTTTGTGGTCGGGTTCACCGCCCTGACAGGTTGGCACGGCTATCTGCACAAAGAAACGGACCTCATTCCCAGATTCTCTTTCCCTCTGTCTTCCGCTGCGGCCTGCAGGTCTGCTGCTGGGCTATGATCTGTCGGTGGTTGCCATCATCCTGGAGCCGGTTCGGCTTGAGTTCAATCTGTGCGGCGGCGCCTTCTCGTGCTTCGAGAAACAGCTCATGGTCGCCCTGCCTGCGCCGGGAGCAGTGGTTGGCGCCCTGTTCGCGGGATCTCTGGCCAAGGATATGAGCCGCGTGGTGTCGATGGGCATATCTGATGGCTGCATCGTGATTGCTGCAGTGCTCATGGCGGTGGCGCAGCGGTACTGGATCCTCCTGGCCGGAAGATTCATTGTCAGTGGGTGTAGAGAGGGAGGGATGGAAAGTGGCGGTGCTCGGGGACTCGGCAGGACACCTCTTTCTATGTGCCTTGTCAGGTTGGCGTGGGTGTGGGTATCGGTATGGTGACCTTTTCGACTTATGTGGCCGAGATAGCGCCCGAGAGGGAGAGAGGGCAGCTTGTTCTCTGCCAGGTGAGTGAGGTGCAGAGAAGACTGTCTTTGTCCACGGCGGGCTGGCTGTACATTCGTTTGTCGCAATCAATCAGGAAATTTGCCAGTGTTTGGGAGTGATGTGTAGCTTCGGTGTGGCGGCGATGCTGACCGACCCGGCCCCCTACTGGCGGGTACTGCTCGGGGCGGTGGCCATTGCCGGACTCCTGCAGGTATGGTGTGTGGGTGGGGGTATGCCATGATGTATACGTGTCCAGGGGGTGCATTGGCCTCCTGTCTTCTCGACACATCAGGCGATTGGGCTGATCCTGCTGCCTGAGAGCCCGCGATGGTCAGGCAGCCAACGTCACGCCAACGCAAGAATCCTCCATGAGTCAGTCGTCTGCGTTTTCTTGTGTGCAGGTTAGTCATCCAGGGTCGTGTCGACGTCGCCAAGGAGACCATGCTCAAGCTGGGGGCAGCTCAGGAGGACATCGACACACAGCTGCACGCCATGATCCGCGAGAAGCGACGCGCAGAGGCCCTCACGCGCCGGGGCAGCCTTCAGTCGCGAATGGGCACATTCGACTTCTCACACGTCTTTCCCGACCCCTTTGAAGCCAGCAAACAGCATTCACCGCAGCAGAAGGAGGAGCAAGAGCAGCAGCAGCAGCAGCAGCCGACAGAAGCAGCAGCAGTAGGCGAGGCGACTCCCTTGACGAAGGGCGATCAAGGCGATGGTCAGGGGGAAATGGACAATGTGGGGGCGATGCTCCAAGTCACGTATGTGAGACATTCACCGTGCCGGTTAACCAGCAGAACTGGGCGTGGCGTGTCTATGTCTGTGTGTAGGCTGGGGCGTCAGTTGCGGCGTCACAGGACGGAGCTTGCCATCGCTGTCGGATGTGCCGCTGCGAATGTCAGTCAGGAAAACGCGGACAGGGGGTCCCCTTCGCACAGATGGCAGGAATGCTGTTTGTTTGTTTGTGTGGTCTCAGAATATGACTGGGGCGCCCGCGGTGCTGCCGTACTCGACCGACGTATTGATGCTGGCAGGCGTGTCGGCGAGGAGCAGCTACATCGCAGGTACGATTCGGCTGCATCTATCTGCCTCCAATTGCTGAGCTCCCTTGTGGAGATTTGTGGGTGTGCCCGTGCTGATCTATGTATGTCGCAGGTGTGGGCATTGGACTTGTCAAGGTGGGCCTGCCTGCCTGCCTTCTCTTGTGGATGTATGCCTGGATTAGTGCAGACAATCGGCGTGTTTGTCACCTTTCTCACCGTCGACCAATTGGGCAGGAAGACCCTCCTCATCGCAGGCACAGCAGGTACATAGATGTGCAAGGGGACATAGGGAGGGAGGGAGGGAGGGGCCCCCGTACTATCCTTGTGCTCGTTTCTCCTCAGGCATGCTAATGTGCCACCTGCTGTTTGCGTCGGCCTTCGCCATGGCGGGCGCGTGGTCTAGTGCTGCAGCAGTGTCGGTCGTGGCCATGCTCCTATACATGTTCTTCTGGAACCTATGCTGGTGGGTTGGTGGGTGGGCGGGTGGTGAGACACGCAGGAAGCAGACATGGACAGATGGATGGATGGATGTGTCTATCCCTTGGCTGGGCTGCTGTTTGCTGTCAGGGCGGGTTTGATGTACGTCGTGGCGTCGGAGGTGCTGCCATCCCACTTGAGGGGGTTTGGGATGGGCATCGTGGTGGTTGCCTTCTGGGCTCTGGCATTCTGCACAGGGGCGACATTCGAGACACTGTTCAACACCCTCTCCATCGCAGGTACCTATTGACTTGCCAGGGAGGCAGGGAGGCAGGGAGGGAGGAAGGGATGGCTCAGAACAGCTGCCCAGCCAAACAACTCATCATCAACGAGCCTGCTGTCCCATTCATTCACTGCAGGCACGTTCTTGCTGTTCGGTGGTTTCACCTTCCTGGTGCTGCTCTTCACCATCGTCAGTGTGCCCGAGACATCCGGCAAGTCGCTCGAGCAGATCGCAGCGGGCTTCCACAAATCGCGACAAGACAAGAAGAGGGCAGCGCCGCCGACCAGACAGACGGGAGGAAATGAGTGCTCGGCAGTAGCAGCAGCAGGAGTTGCCGAGCCAACCCGTGTTGTCCAGAGAGGCGTCTCCGCCGAAGTGCGATGATGCATGTGGGGTGTGTGCGATCTCCGGACTTGTGTGCTTCTCTTCTTGCTGGGAGGAAAAGCGTTCATCTGTTCGATGGAAGGTCTCTTTTGCCACCACACAGACAGACCGACAGACCCACAGACCCAACCGCCCCCATAGATGCAACGTTCGTGCACGCACACATGGACGGGACGTCTGTACACACACAGACACAGACACAGACAGGACATAACACATCTCATCGCGCCAATCGGACCATCCATTTCATGCATCCATGCAGCCTTTGCCGCAATCCCTGCCTTACATTGTTACATCAATGACACATGCCTAGGCCTTACCGTCTCTCGGTCTGTCTGTCTGTCGGTCTGTCGATCTACAATACTCACTCGAAGGGATGAAGGAATCTTCCTTCAGAGAAAAGGACCGAGGAAAGGGGAAAACGATGAAAAAGACCATGTACGAATCATAGCATGCACCCACCCATCCACGCCGTGCACACAGTGAGGCGGGCGAGAAACAGTTCTTTTGGGGAAAATGGGTTAAGAAAGTCGCTTCCCTCCGCCCACCACACCACCCACGCCCGTCACACCATGTGCAGCAGCCTGTCAGCTCGCAGCAACAGCCGTCCATCAACAATGAAGACCAATCAATCTTCCTCTCACAAACAACAGTAGGGAGCAAAAACAACCACACACCACAGAACACGCCCATCCATAACACAGCGGGCGACAAAACGCCCACCGACAAAACCACTTCCTCCCCCCGCCCCCTACCTCCCTACCCACCGCCTCCCAGCGTGCTCTCGCTGTCCGAGCGCACCACAGATGGAGACGACATTACCCCACCGCCTATATTGATCAGCGTCACAGGGGGGAAGGCACCCGGTCGCCTCGCCACGGTTCCCGGGGGCCGTATGAGCTTGCTCAGGTCCAGTGGCGGCACAGCAGGGGCCGATCGACGCACAGACGGGTGTGGCGACGCACAAGGCGACAGCACCGACGTCGGCGCGTCAGAGGGGGGGCTCAGCTCGGGTGACGACCGCCGAATGGTGCGCGGCCGCTGCATCGGGGTGCTGTCGCTGGAGCGCCGATCGCCCTCTTCTTCGTCCGCACAGGATGTCGGCTGCATCTTGCTGCTGGAGCCGCCCGTGGTGCTGGGGTAGGCCTCAGTGAAGCCCGGCCTTGCCCCGTCCATGAGGGCGACGAACGACATGGGGGCGGGAAAGTGGGCAACTGGTGCTGGTGGGGCTGAAGGAGGACAGTCAGGAGGCCGCGACCGAATCGACTGGAACCATGGGTCGATCGGCAGTGTGGGAGAGCAGGGCGGAGACAGAATGTCGATCTGATACGCAAAGTCAGCGACAGCAGCAGCCGCAGCAGCAGCGGCAGGGTCGCTTCTGCTCGAGATGGCCTCCATCTGCACGTCAAGGTCCTGCCGAAACCGCGTCACGGGAACAGACGTCGTGCCCCCCAGATCCACCTCCAGCTGGCTGGTGCTGCGGTTCATCGGCGTCGCCTCGTCCGCACCGCCACCCTGCGCACCGTCCTCGGGGCTCGTTGCGCCGCCTTGGGCCTCTTCCCCCTCTCCCCCTCCCTGTCCCGTCTCATGGGCATCATCATCAGCTCGTTGGTCTGGCTGTTGTTGGTGTTGCTGTTCATGCTGTGCGAGCATGTCGTCATTGAGCTGGTTGTGCGCGAGGGGGGTGCAGCTGGAGGGCGCCGGCGGTTCCACATAAGGCTCGTCGTTGTCGAAGGCTTTGCACCTCAGCATCAGTCTCCGCTGCGTGAGCTTCCGCCAGATCTCCCACGTAGTGACGACCGTCCCCGTCACCGCCAGCCCGGTCAGGGCGGTCACTGACGTGACGAAGAGACCGGGACACATCAAATGAGGGTGAGAAGCGATCGCATGGCATGGATTGGGTATGATGATGGATTTGCGTACGTGTGTATCTGAGTGCCAGTGGTGCGAGCAGGAAGACATGGCAGAGGGCGGCGAAGGGGCTAAGTGCCGCCACGGCCACCGGCAACACACGATCGTCATGGCTGGCTGTGTCCTGCAGCAGGTCGGAGAAGAGAGGACACTCAGCCCAGCCAAGAGGGGAGTGAATGGTTCCCGACCCCCTCCCTCCCTCCCTCCCTCCCTCACCTCTGCATCAGCGTACAGGAATCGAATGCGCACCATGCGCATCAGCTTGTGGGTTATCAGGAACAGAGCAGCTGCATACAATACAATACATGACACCCACATGACATCGATCGCATATGTGTCAGTCAAGTCCACACCCGTTGCCGCATCGCCTCACTCGACGTACCGACAAAGGCGTTCCAAGGGTTCAGTGGGGCGAAGATGCACATGTGGGCGAACATGATGGTGTTGAGGGCGAACAGCTCGCGAGACCCGTAGATGCGCTCGGGCAGACACCACCTCTTGAAGGCCTGTGCGTTCTTGCCCCGAATCGTCTTCCTCATCACATCAGCCGCTATCCGCAGCACGTGGGTCGACGTCCGCGTCAAGCCGAGGAAGGCCAGCGAGTCGGTAGCCACGATGCGCATCATGTCCACATAAGGCCGGGCATCCACCAGCCCCTCCCCCTCCCCACCTTCGCCCTCGCCATTGACGCCAAACAGCACGCCATAGTCCCGCCGCTGCCACGCCATCAGGCCGGGGTAGCTCGCAAGCGGTATCAGCATTACGATGAATGCGCTGTTGGGTATAATGCACAGCACTTGGAAAAGGTAGCAGAGCGTCTCGGTCTCCACTGGGTCGACGGCCACAGACACAGGGGCGCTGGGGGGCTCATCGGGTGCGCTATCGGGGCTCGTTGATGCCGGGTCGGTGGAATGGAGGGAGCTCTGGGGCGAGGCTGACTCGTACCTCTTGACGATGCGGCTGGGGATGAGGTCCACCAGCACCCCCGACAAATGCATCATGACCACATTCGTCACCCAGGTCAGCCAGCACAGCTCAAATCGGCTCATGCGGAAAGGGTCGACATAGCCGGAGAGGTACTCAATCGTCACTGTGAAGCCGAGAATAGGGATCGCCGCAGAGAGGTAGAGCACCCGTGCCCGCGTTGGCCATGGGATCATGGTGGGGACGCCATCACGGTGGGGACGGGGCACCTCGGCTGTGCGGGCAGACAACGCACGCAGCCGCAGCGGACTCGACTCCACTTTCATCTGACAGGCGCACCGCACCATAACACGCACATTGCATTGGTCTCTCTCTCTATCTGTTTGTTCGTGAGCGTTTCTTCTTCCTTGGTTACCCAAAGGATCCATGCGACAAGTAGGGGCGAGAGGATGCACAGCCCCGTGTAGACGGGCAGCAGCATGCTGCGGGTGATGTCCTTGTCGAACATCTCCAGGTAGAACACGGGCCAGTAAATCATGTCCGCCTCCATTGCCAGCAAGAAGCCAATGGCCATGATGAGAAGGGAGAACGTTATCAACACATCCTCTGCTCACACACGCACACACACACACACACATTGTCTGACTGTCATTGCTGAGTGTGTGTTGTGTTGTGTACGGGCACGATTGTTGTGAAATTATTACCAAAGAAGGCGTAGAAGCGGATCTCGTGGATGCGGCTGACTTGGGGAGCGGTGCAGATCCGTTGAATGGCCGCCCTCATTGGTGGTGTTGCGTCGCTGAGCCCCTGTCCCTCTCAGCTGCGATGTGCCAGATGCAGCAAGGCAAGAAGCGACGGCACCGCAGTACCGCGCGGATTGTGTTTGTATGTGCTGGTCAGGCGTTTGGCAAGTGCTCCAAGTGCGGCATCCTGAGTTATGGTCGCCGCGATGGTCAGTCAGAAGAACCGCTGGTCGGGTCGCGTGGGGTCAAGCAGCGATGGGGCGATACCTTCTTGACAAACGAGGCTTCAAGGGGGGATCATTTCAGAGCGGGAGGGTTCTGATTTTGCGAGCTTGGCATCGGAAGGACCAAACAGAGAGCCTCGCAGGCGCGTCACTCTCTCACTGCAACAGCCTTTTTCTGCCCCGTTTCGTCCTCGGCGGCTCTTTTTCCTCCGCTGGTCATCGCGTCTGGTCCCTCCCTCCCTCCCACGCCCTCTGTCAAAGACCGGCTGGTTAGCGTGAGAGGGTTTTGTGGATGCCCGTCGGCCTGCGTTAGTGAGTCCTTGGCGCGTTAACATGCGGAGTGAGGGAGGCGATAAGAACTTCAAAGAGGGGGAGGTCCTCGACTTTCAGGTGCGGAAGGGCATGACACACACACGACACAGCACCCACAGCACACAGAGAGGGCGACAGCAGCGAGGGGAAGGCAAGGCGATTTGTCGCTTCGAGACCACACCGACTTGTGTGTGTTGTGTCGTCTCGTCGTCCTGGCGTCGTCCCTCCCTGTTCAATCAGGATGAGCAGAGTGACTGGCGTGTGGGTCACGTTGTGGAGGTGTCTGAGGACAACACTGCAGTCAAGCTGGCCTACGTGGCCGGCAGCGGCGGGGCCAACCGCCGACACGACCGGGACAAGCTGCCCATCCAAAACGAGATTTGGATACCCGTCAACTCAGACAGACTTCTCAAGCCATGTACCCACCGACGCACGAGAAACAAAAGACACACACAATGCCCTAAGGGCCTTGCCTTACCGACACACGCATGGCATGACATGAGTGAGTCTCGTTGGTTGTCCTTCCTGATGCGATGTAGGGGCTCCCGGCATGAGGGCTCGCGTGGGCCACCGTGTCGACTATCGTGACGTCCACCATGGCCAGTGGGTGGAGGCGCGCATCGTCGAGGTCGGCCGCGACGGCCGCGATGAGGAGTCATACAAGGTCAAGTACAAGAGCGTGGGGGGCAGCAAAGTGAGCGACTGGGTGGCCACCAACTCAGACAGGCTCACCGCCGTCGGCACACACACCGGCGTCTCCCAGCCGTCCAGACCGCCCTACCAGTGCCACGGACAGAACCCCGGACAGCCACCGGTAACCCACACCACACCCACACCCACACACGAGACGCGTACCACCAGTGTGTTTGACTGACGTCGGCGTGGCTGTGGTGGTGTTGCCTCGCCTGTAGTGGCTGCAGGCCAAGCGGCCTGCCTCCAGACGATCAGCGGCGGCCAACTGTAAAGAGGGGACAACGGATGAGGGTGCGGCAGGGGGGCAGGGAGGGGGCGGGGGAGGGGGATCGCCCAGCGGCACCCCCAGCCCCGCGCTGTCGTCGCCAGGCCACAGCGTCACCGCCACACCCAGAAATGCACAGCAGGCCATGCAGGCGGCCGCGGGTAGGCTTACACGCAGCTGACAACAACACGTCTCAACCAAGATATGTGGTTTTCTCGTCTGCAGGTGGCGACGTGGCTCCACCTGTCGTTGGCCCCTCTGCTGCCCCAATGGTGCCAGTGCGTCCCGTCCCGCCCGCCAGTGGCAGTCGGTCGCCCACACAGGGGCCTGGGGCGCCCGGCCACGCCATAGCATTTGCTCGATCATCACAGCTCAACCCGTCACAGTCACAGCCGTCCTCACCCCCACCCACCACCACTACTGCAGATGGAGCTGCCGCGGCCACAGCTGCAGCTGCAGCGGGCCTGCAGGCCGGTCCGTCTGGGGACGCCATGGCTGCTGATGTGTCTGTGCCGGCAGTGGGTGGTGGCACGGAGGGCTCCCTCTCACTCTTCTCTGGTGATCTGAGCCGGCCCATCTCCCCGCCAGACGCCAACCCAGGCCCGTCCACCACACACACCCACGAGGACCAGCGCGCCAGCGACGACATGCCACCGCCAGTCAACCAGCCTCCCGTGTCCACGTCATCACTAGCAGCAGCAGCAGCAGCAGCATCGGCGGCCAATCCCTCGACCAACCCCACAGCCCGTCGTGGCGGCTCTACTGCCGGCCCGCGGACGGTGCTGCGTGGGGTGGGTGCTGGTGGCAGGGGTGTGAGCTCGCGCACCAACTCGACGGCGAGCAACCAGAACGCCGCTGTGCCGAGTCCGAGCTCGTGTGCGCTGCGTCAGGGCGGTGGGGGCGGCGGCGGGGGTGGGGCTGGGAGGGGCAACAGTGCTGGTGCCGGGGGTGGGGGCGGCTCCAGACAACAGGTGAGGGTGTGAGAGGGAAAGATCCAATGCAGAGTGGACGCATGTCTCTCTCTCTCCCACTGTGTGTGGATTTGTCAGAGTCTGGGTGACGATCGCGACAGTGGTGCGTCAGGCGTTGGTGGTGTTGGGGCTGGGAGGGGGCAGGGCAGCAGTGCCAATGCTAGCGGGGCGTCGCAGCAGCAGCTGCAGCAGCAGTGGGACGGGCAGCCGAGGATCGATGAGCGCTTCGCCATCCGTGTCATGGGTAAACAACTCAGGCGGAACAAAGTCCATCCGTCAACAAACTCGCCTTCATGCCCTCTCCCGTCGACACACGTGTGTGTGTGTGTGGTTCAGCGAGTGACGGCAATTGTCTGTTTCGTTCGGTGGCAGATCAGATGTACGGCAACCCCGACCTGCACAGGCTTGTCCGCACCAAGTGCATGGAATACATGGTCAGTCGGTCCGGTCCACAACACAACACAACACACAGATACTCCACTCCGAGAGAGCGACTCAGCCAAATGTCTGTCTGTATGCTATGTGTGCAGGAGGCCGAGCGTGAGTATTTCCAGCAGTTTGTGACGGACCGTTTCGAAGAGCACGTCCACCGCATGAAGCAAGACGGAGGTCAGCCAGGGAGCGAGAGCGGGGGAAGGCATTTGTATGTCGTCATGGTCGCGTGTGAGGGTTTGGTGACTGTGGTGTAGAGTGGGGCGATGACGTGGAGATCGAGGCCATGTCGGAGATGTACGACTGCAGAATAGAAATATACGGATACAGCAACGGTACGGTAGCCACCTTGATTGACACCTGGACAAGCTACATACACGTGCATCTATGTGCCTGCCCCCTCCCGCTGTCCTTTCATTCAGAGGCGCTTCGCACGTTCCACGAGACGTGCAACGCCTGCAATCCCCACCCGATGCGGCTCTCATACCGCGGCGGCTCTCACTACAACTCGGTCAGTCAACCAACCTTACCACAAACCACCCATCTATCCAACGCACTCACGGGCCGACGCGCCTCTGCCGTCACCCCGTATGTGTGCCTGCATCAGATTGTGTTGCGTCACGGCCAGCGCCCCCTCACCACGGCTGCACCAGGCGTAAGACACACCGACTAGTGCGTTGATGGCATCTCGTCCCATGGTTGGTCGGTTGTTTCGTTGGTTGGTTGTTTCAGTGTTTGGAGAACCGTGCCATCAGCCGCTCGCGAAACAGACGCAGACAGGTGAGAAACCAAAGGGGAGTTGCAGTCGAACTTTTCACCGGTCTGTTTGTCTGTCTGTGTGTGTCAGCGTGACCTGCACGCCCCGGTGCAGGGGGACGACACGCAGCTGGACGAGGTCATTCAGAGATCAAGACGCGAATTCGAGCACAGAAGTACGTGAGCAACAAAGATGACGACACCCTCAGACTGTCAGACAGGGGCACATGAATGTATTGATGTGTGTGTTTTTCTGTGTGTTTGTGTGTCGCGAGGACAGGTGAGGCTGAGATGGAGAGGGCGCTGCGTGCGTCCCGCGAGGAGTACCATCGCAAAGAGGGCAACGAAATACAACAGGTGTGTCACCTACAACCGCATCTCACCGAGGCAGAAGTCATGTTTCCATCTCATGTGCATCTGTGTGCGTGCAGATGGACAATGAGATCTTCGAGACGGTGCTCAACCAATCCTCCCTGGAAGAGGTACGCCCGCGCACACGACAGACCGACAAGCACCTGGCGTCACCTCACCTCTGTCTACCTGTCTGCTTGCATGTCAGGATGAGCGGGCCCTGTTGGAGGCCGCCCTCCGCGAGAGCCTCGGCCAGCCAGCTGTCGCATCATCGTCTTCCAGCGCTGCCGCCATGCAGCCACAACCACAGCCACAGCCACCACCACCAGTCCCAGCACCAGCACCAGTCCCAGCAGCAGCTGCTGCTGCGGCAGCTGCTTCCAGTGCCGGCCCGTCACATATGGATGTCGACACTCGGCCCCCTCCACCACCCACACAGCAGCCACAGTCCACAAGCAACGTGTTCGTCTTCCCCTCCAACTTAGGTGGTGGCCCGGCTCCCTTTGACGTGGAGGGCGAGGCGGCCGCCATCGCGACGGCGTTGGCCACTGCCGTGGCGGCGACGACGCCCAACCTCGGGGGCCAGGGGGACGCCGTCATGCAGCCGAGCGGTCAGGGTGCCGGTGCCGGTGGTGGAGGGGAGGGTGGCGAGTATGCGGACTCGGTGTTGGCGGTCATGTCGCTGGGATTCCCTCTCGAGCACTGCATGCAGGTGGGTGGGTCGGTGGGTGGATGAATGGTGTATGAATGGTGGATGCACCGGCCGTCCATGTGTGTCGTGCAGGCGTACCGGTTGTTTGGCGACAACGAGGAGGACATTCTTGCCTACTGCTGCCAGAAGCTTCAGCAAAACTGACTCACTGACTGACTGACTGACTGACTCTCGTAGCCGTAGCAGAGACCTTTTTTCCGCCGTGAGCTGAATGGAAGCTGCTGTTGGTCGAGCTTGGTCGGTCGGTCGGTTGGCTTGTCGATGTACCTTACCTTACCTTGTCTTGCCCTCCCTCCCTCCCTCCCTCCTGATTGATTGATTGTTTGTTTGCCTGGCCCGGCCTGCCTGGCGCTGGTCAGTTATAGCCAAGCATCCAAAGGGATGTGGCGCTTTGGTGCGTTGGGATGTACGGTGTCGGATGGACGCCGACAGAGACATACACACACAGATGAAGGGATCGATGGCGTACTCATGCGTTCTTTCGACGCTCATAGCATTCCTCTCGTGTGAGCGCAGTGCAACTTCGCTCACACACGGGAAAAATGCTATGAGCGTCGAAAGAATCGTGACGATTGATGCTATGACCGTCATGACTATTAAAGCTCACACACGCTGTCATGTGTCATCCGCCTCATCCACTGCCGGCGTCCGGCCAATTGTTGGTTTCGTCAAGTATCGGATGGAGGAATGGCGAGGTCGTGCGTTTTGACGCGACTCCAGCACCACAACTCGTCGTTCATCTTGAGCTCGATCCGAATGTGCCTGGACACCCAAGCTTGCTAATTTTAAGTGGGATAGTCGTGCGGTATCTTATGGACGATGTGCAGGGGGGAAACCTGCACACGTGCGAATGGATGAACAAAGACATGTGCACCGTGTGTCGGTTTGCCGCTTTGCTCATGTTGGGAAGTAGCTGCAGCACGTTGGCGAATACGAACAGCGACACGACTTCCTGGCCTCGGCCTGTCGTCTGTGTTTGGTGGCGGTGGAGCCGCTGCACCGCCAGTGGGCATTGCACCCGAAGAGGAAGTCGCACCTGAAGGTCAGTCACACACAAACAGAAACAACACACCCCTAGCTGTCTCCCGTGCATCTGTGGCTGCATCTGTGTGTGTGTCCCTGTGTGTGTGTGTCAGAGGAGGCTGGTCCACTGACGTCTCTCGACTCGCTCATCGACGACCTGCACAAGGAAAGTGTGCGGCTCGATCAGGAGATAGCGGGTTTGAAGGCCCAGGGCGCGACGCTGCCCGAGGAGCGAGCACTGAAGACGCCCCTGCCTGACGTCAAATCCACACTCGAAGCAGACAAGAGAGCCCCGCCCGCTGTCATCGTCGTCGGTCCGTCCACTCACACACAGCCAGCCATACACAGACAGACAGACAGACAGATGAGAGACACAACCTCCCTCCCCGATCCACTCATGCATCAGAGCCCGAGGGTCCCTCAGCAGAGGAGCGGCTGGCAGCCCTCAAGAAGCGAGACTGCGAATACGAACGAGACCTCATCAAACTGCAGCAGGAAGGTCAGACAGGCAGAGAGACACGCAAAGGAGACACACACTCGTGCCGATGCATATGTGTGCGTGTCTTCGTGTGTGTGTTCAGAGGAGATGTTGCATCCGTCGGCAGCACACACACACACACACAGAGGAGGGAGGGACACCCCCCCATGTCTGTCTGTCTGTCTGTCTGTCTGTCTGTGTCTCTCATCAGAGGCAGCACGCCAGCGACCAGCGAGAGCACCAGCGATCTGATGAGAGACGAGGAAAGAGTCCTGGACGCGATGATTTTGGTCGTCGGCCGGAACCTCAAGAGGCTCTTCGACGAGAGAGACAGACGCCTGCATGCCTCCCCGACAGCAGCAGCCCGTCTGGCCCGGGCGCCGTGCGTCGGGTAAGTCACAAGGACAGCTGAGAGGGGAGGAGGGACGGCTGTGTGTGTATGTCTATCTCCATACATTTGTGTGCAGTGGTGGTGCTCTGTCTCGTTTGGGCGGCGCGTCGAGTCTCTCGGCTATCGACGACGACATCACACGGCTGCAGACACAACTGGCAGACCTGCAAAGGGTGAGTTCGTGGACACGGTGACCACACACACAACCTGCTACCCATTCGCTGTCTGTGTGTCTCTGTCTATGTGTCTGAGTCAGCGACGAGCGGCTCTCGGCTGAGTCATGTTGGAAGAGACACCGACAGACACAGACACAGACACAGACGTGTTGATGGACAGACGCGCGATGCATTTCAACTGAAGTGATATGTGAACGCTTACCAACTGCCCTTTTGATAGACACACGTTTTTTCTTCGACATGCAGATCGATCACAAATAAGTCCGCGATGGAGACAGATAGCAAAACGGATCCTACATCCCCTGCCCCGTCGATCTACCCCCTTTCCTCCTCTCCCATGTGCGTCTCGCCGTCATGCTTTGGTGCTGCTTTTTTGGCAGCCATCTTAGGTTCTGACTGCAATTGTTATCCCTCCGCCCGTCAATGTGGTCCACTTCTAGCTCATCCTCTGTGCACCCCTTCTCCAGCCATTTGGCCTTCTCGTCTGCAAGCCACACTTCTGCCACCAGCCGATGCACGAGGAAATTGCGCCCCCTCAACGTGACACGACGATAGCCTGTGGACAGGTACGTGCCCTCCGTCACGTGCCCATTCACATGACGAACGCGGCCTGCACGTCACAACCAAGCCTGCCTGTCTGCCTGTCTGGATGGTCTTGATGTCGACTTGCCTTGATTGGAGACTTTGGGGAGGCGCGACGGCCTCTGAGAGGGTGGGAGGCTGTGGTATGCCTCTTTGACAAAGCTGATGGTCCTGAAGCGCTCGCCGTCCCGATTGCGATGGGCCGCATACGTCAATGTGTAGTCTCTGAGGAAGGAAGGGCGGTAGCGGCCAATCAAGGTCTTGAACATGGTAAGGCTGTGGACTTGGAAGTGTCGCGCGGCGATGGCCGCCTGCTGGAAGGATGTGATCCTCCCTGTGTGGCGACACCTAGCGACGACAGGCCTTGACGAGGCAAAGAGGGGCTTGGGACGAGCTATCTCCCTGGCAGTCTTCTCGCGATGCTGCTTCGTATCGAGCCTACAGGCAGCCAACAGCAACGAACAGCAACAACAATCCACGTGAAATCCGATGCATCTGTCTTGCGATCACCACTGCAAGTTGTCGACGGCGTTGTTCTTTTTGTTGCCGTCGATGTGATCCACCTGCAGTGCGTGTGCGGACTCCGTGCGACGCTGCAGATCTTCCTTCTGCTGGGCAAGGAAGGTTTCCGCAACGAGCCGATGCACGAGGTAACTTTTGGCGTTGATCTTGGTGCATAGATATCCGCTGCCGTTGGTCCATCCTGACGTCAGAGGACCATTATGGTGCTTGACGCGACCGTGTGTGGAAACCTGGGCGCCCCTCTTGCAGATGCCATCGAATGGTGGAACGGGAAGGAAGTGCTCGGCACGTCTTGACGTGAATGCTCTTGCCTGACGGATGGGAAGAAAGAGCGACAGCTGGCGCATCACGAAAAACTAGGGGCCGTTTTGTGTAAATGCGGATGCGAATTTACGCGCTTCGCAGAGGGTGGATTAGCCTATGGGCAATGACGTGACGGTGCCCAGCAGCCGACAGGCCCTGCCGCCGGCCAGGGAGAACGAGGCCATCGATTTCATCCACAGCCTGGGGCGGGATGCCATCCACACACTCGAGGATATCGGCATACTCAGATGCACGGCCGCCTTCCTATCGCAGATAGACTTCTCGGCTGCCGTCCTCCGCAATCGGCTGGGGCGCTGCCTGGCGGCCAAACAGCTCCACGGCATCATCGCATTCGATTCGCAGCTGGAGACCAAGCTCGTGTTGAAGGCCATTTGGCTGATGGACACGCAGCAGTGGACCGAGGTGGCCAATGCGCTGCGCTTCGCGGGGCAGAGGGGCCTCTGTCAGCTGCCGATCACACTGGCTGTGGCCGACATGCAGCGTCACGATAGCAAACAGGTGGGCAGATGAGCGTGGGGCGGGGTAGGTGGCACTCAGCTGTCTGTCTGTCTGTCTGTCTGTGTAGGCGTATTTGGCCGATGCGGGTGTGATTGCGTTGTGGAAGATGGTCGGCAGACACGTCAACTTCGGCGGCCACTACGGCCGTTTTGAGCTGTTCGACCAGCCGGGCGGCGGTGTGCGTGCCATCAAGGACGAGCCGGGCTTCGAGCTGGACATCAACCCCCCCCTCCCCCCCGCCCACCCGTACCACACACACACCATCAACGGCAACCCGCCCGTCACATGCCGAATCCGCGAGCAGGGGGGCAGCTGGACGGCCGGTGCTGAGGTGATCACTGATGCCTCGGCGTCGGCCTTCGTCATGAGGGTGATCCTGCCCCCTCCAGTGGCGAATTGGGGCGTCACTCCATGGGTTTACGTGGACCGGTACGCAGGAAACACCACACTCAGACAGACACACATCGATCCATCCATCAGGGCCTCTTCCTCTGTTATGTGTTGGTCTCCTCAGTCATGCTCACGACGGTGTGCTGGACGGCCTCCTCAACCACTCGCCCCACCAGCCCCCTAACGGATGCACCGCCGTCGTGGCGAGCAGGGTGGACAGTAGCCATCCCCCTCTCGAGTATCGGACTCTGCTGCTGACGCCGTTCGACAGACCATTCGTCGCATGGATCGATCTGTGTATCTTCCCCAACAACACGCAGAACAAGACGAACATAGGTGAGGGAACAAGATAGCAGATTATATGCTGAGTGAGCCATCCTTTGACGTGTTGTTCTGCTGAATGCAGTGACTGTTTCTGTCGTCACCAACGAGCCGCCAGTAGGTGATGCATCGGCTGCCTTCAAGGACCGCCGGCCCGCCACCGCCTCTCTGGTGGGCGGCCCGCTGGGCAGCACCATCGCAGACATGGTGGTCAACCAGCAAGAGAAAGTCGCTGATGAGGGTGCGTGTGCAGCCAGCCGCCTCCACCTCAGTGTGTCGGTCGGATGAATCGGTGTGTGTTTTGTGTGTACAGATATGGATGGTGACTCGGAGGAGGACGATGGCGATAGTGGTGAGGGTAAGTGGTCTGTGTGGTGTGTCCAGCCCGCCTTGCTAGGTGTCTTACTCATATGTATGTGTGTGTGTGTGTGTGTGTGCAGACATTGATGGCGACTCGGAGCAGGACGAGTTGAACGAGATCGACGGAGAGGGCGAGGGAGCGCCGGCCATCGGCACCACAGACGAGGCCAAACAGCGACTTGACGAGTGGGTGACTAGGACCAGAGAGCAAACACTCACACCCATCTATTGTGTGTTGGTGTGATGGCAACAGGGCTGAGGCATGCAAGCACCAGGGCAACATATCCTTCAAGTCGCGGGAGTGTCTGGACGCCCTGCAACAGTACACGAAGGCAGCCCGCCTCCTCGCCTTTATGGCGCCCAGCCCCGCCATAGAGGAGGAGAGGAACCGCCTGGCTACCAAGTGCAAACTCAATGAGGTATCCCCGTAGCAGGCACACGAACGCCCAATACGCCACACCATGTGTGTGTCTGTTGTGTCGATTTCTTGCAGCGGCGTGTTATTTGGAGTTGAAGGACTACGCCATGACGATCCGCCGGTGCACGGAGGTGCTGGCCGTGGACCCCCACCTGGTCAAGGCCCTCTACCGCCGTGCGCGTGCCCATCTGGAGTGCAAGGGCTTCGGTGAGGCCAAGAGGGACGTCATCATGGCACTAGACATCGCACCCAACGACACAGAACTCAGGTGGGTGCCTCAGGGAAGGCAGACATTGAGGGCACGAAGGGAGCCAAGGCGAACGCGATTTCATGGTCTGTCTCTCTGCTTGTATTGTTTGATGCAGTAAGTTGCTGCGTGAGGTCAAGAAGATCCAGGCGGACGAGGAGGCCAAGGAGAGACGGAAACTCAAGTGTGTTACCAAGCCACATATTCATCACACCGCTCTTGTCCATTTCGCTCTCTCTCCCCATTGATGCAGGGCGTTCTTCGAGGCTGACGCCAAGCGATCGGCCCACTCAGAAGCTGCCGCCGCCCCACCGCGCCCCAGTGTGCAGCATGATGACGACGACGATGGCGAGCCAATGGTGGAGTTCACCAACACAGGCAAGAGGGGGGCGGGTGAGCGGGGTGTGTCTTGTGTCCAGCCGGATGTGTGTGTGCCTTTTCTGTGTGTGTGTGTGTGTGTGTGTGCAGATGTGGATGGCGAGTTGGGGAACGAGTGGGACGATAGCCCGCCAGTAGCAGCAGCAGCAGCAGCAGCAGCGGATGACGGACGAAGGCGAGACAGCGGAGGGGTCAAGTTAGACCAGCTGCTTCCATTCATTGTGCGGGTCATCGGTCGATGGATGGATGGCTGTGTGCATTCCACCCCCCATATGTGCCAGGTGGGGGTGGAGGAGGACGGCCACGACGAAGTGGCGGAGGTAGATAGCGCAGCGCTGCCACAGTGCATCTGTGAGACACACAGACGTAGCCCTATCGACCGAACTCATCGGTCCATACACACATGTGCACGATGGACAGCAGTGCTTGCGTGGGCTGTATATGTGGCTCGTGTGCGTGCGTGTCGTCGCTTTACCCACCCCCTACACCACCACGCCGCCCCACACACGGCCCTCACGAATGCATTTATGCCCAACAAGCGCCTCAACTAGGGAAAAGAGCAACACATCTCCCACGAATGCTTGCGCATCTGATCCGTCTCGGTCTTGACACATGAGATATGATGGCATTGCGAGTGAATGCAAGCGCTGCGTGACACACCGCTCGCCGTTTTCGCTCGTGCTGCGCCGGCTGTGTATGTGTGTGGTGTGTGCATTGTGGAGGTTTGCGAGGGTGTCTATGGCGGCAATTTGCTATCTGTCTCCATCGCGGACTTATTTGTGATCGAGTGTGTGCTTCCATCCATTTGTGCATATGTGTGGTGGAGCACACAAGATCGAATAAATGAGTAAATGAGTCCACCCTCCCTCCCTCCCAGCCACACCCGACCAAAAAGACACGCGCAGACATATGAACCCTCAGCGTGTGAGAGATTCTGGGGGTGTGATCGAGCTGCATGTCGAAGAGAAACGTCGACAGAAAGAACGTGGATCTATCCATCTATCTATCTGTCTATCTGTCTATCTATCTGTCTATAACACAAAAGGGCAAGTGGTAAGCGTTCACATATCACTTCAGTTGAAATGCATCGCGCGTCTGTCCATCAACACGTCTGTGTCTGTGTCTGTGTCTGTGTCTGTCGGTGTCTCTTCCAACATGACTCAGCCGAGAGCCGCTCGTCGCTGACTCAGACACATAGACAGAGACACACAGACAGCGAATGGGTAGCAGGTTGTGTGTGTGGTCACCGTGTCCACGAACTCACCCTTTGCAGGTCTGCCAGTTGTGTCTGCAGCCGTGTGATGTCGTCTTCGATAGCCGAGAGACTCGACGCGCCGCCCAAACGAGACAGAGCACCACCACTGCACACAAATGTATGGAGATAGACATAGAGAGAGACTCGACGCGCCGCCCAAACGAGACAGAGCACCACCACTGCACACAAATGTATGGAGATAGACATACACACACAGCCGTCCCTCCTCCCCTCTCAGCTGTCCTTGTGACTTACCCGACGCACGGCGCCCGGGCCAGACGGGCTGCTGCTGTCGGGGAGGCATGCAGGCGTCTGTCTCTCTCGTCGAAGAGCCTCTTGAGGTTCCGGCCGACGACCAAAATCATCGCGTCCAGGACTCTTTCCTCGTCTCTCATCAGATCGCTGGTGCTCTCGCTGGTCGCTGGCGTGCTGCCTCTGATGAGAGACACAGACAGACAGACAGACAGACAGACAGACATGGGGGGGTGTCCCTCCCTCCTCTGTGTGTGTGTGTGTGTGCTGCCGACGGATGCAACATCTCCTCTAAACACACACACACAGAGACACGCACACATATGCATCGGCACGAGTGTGTGTCTCCTTTGCGTGTCTCTCTGCCTGTCTGACCTTCCTGCTGCAGTTTGATGAGGTCTCGTTCGTATTCGCAGTCTCGCTTCTTGAGGGCTGCCAGCCGCTCCTCTGCTGAGGGACCCTCGGGCTCTGATGCATGAGTGGATCGGGGAGGGAGGTTGTGTCTCTCATCTGTCTGTCTGTCTGTGTATGGCTGGCTGTGTGTGAGTGGACGGACCGACGACGATGACAGCGGGCGGGGCTCTCTTGTCTGCTTCGAGTGTGGATTTGACGTCAGGCAGGGGCGTCTTCAGTGCTCGCTCCTCGGGCAGCGTCGCGCCCTGGACCTTCAAACCCGCTATCTCCTGATCGAGCCGCACACTTTCCTTGTGCAGGTCGTCGATGAGCGAGTCGAGAGACGTCAGTGGACCAGCCTCCTCTGACACACACACACACACACACACAGAGACAGATGCAGCCACAGATGCACGGGAGACAGCTAGGAGTGTGTTGGTTCTGTTTGTGTGTGACTGACCTTCAGGTGCGACTTCCTCCTCTGGTGCAATGCCCGCCGGCGGTGCAGCGGCTCCACCGCCACCAAACACAGACGACAGGCCGAGGCCGGGCAGCAGGCGAGAGCGAGCAGACGAGAGCGGCACGACAGCGAGAGCCAAGAGCAGCAGAAGGTACTTGCAGCCCATCATCGTTGCTTGTGATCGATTCGGCGTCGTTTGCAGTCAGTCGAGCGGAAATGACAAGCAAAGCAGTGCCGATTGATTGATTCACATATGTATGTGTCAGTCAATCATACAGACACAGCAACGCATACACACACAGACACACGTACACGGCGGGCACACACTGTACACACTGGCACTGGCACACTTCACTGTTCTGCGCGTGATTTATCCATCACACGACCTGCACACAGAGATCCAACAACGACTCGTGAAAGACAACTTAAGTAAGTCGGCCAGAACCAGATTCTGCTTCATTCACCATCTGTTTGCTGGAGGAGGATACGTCCTCCTGCTTGACCTGCTCTTTGACATTGAATGCACTGCCCTTGGCTGCAGGAGGGGCATTCTTGGATGAGTTGAGGACAGCAAGGAAGGCCTTTTTCCCTCGCTCATCCGCCTCAACTGCCCATACATAGCGCGCACACACAAATGTGTGTGTGTGTCGGCAAATGTGATCCCACGTCTTCCTAACCTCACCGTTGCTCTTCTTGGCCAGCCTTCGCGCCTTGTGCTGCTGGTGTCTTTTCGCTTTCTCCTTCAGCTCCTCTCTCTTGTGCTCTGCATCGATGCGCGGCTGTCTTTGGCGGTAGTCCATAACGGCATTGAACAACTTCACCACTGCACACACACACACACACACACACACGCATAGACAGACGACATCAGCAAACATGCGGGTGTGTTCTCTCTCACGGCTGTACTCACCTCCTCTAGTCGCTATTTTCTTGAGCTGTCGCTCAAAGTCCTTTTGCAGGACATCCACCGGCTGGTGGGCGGCCTCCCGAAGCTTCTTCTTCTCGTGCGCTAGCCGCCGCCGCAGCTTCTCCTCTTGACGCCTCTCCTGAACACACACACATGCACCACACACGCACCACAGCCGTCAGTGGTACGCCTAAGCTGTAGGTGTCATGGAATCGCTACGTACGTCAACGGCTTGCAGGAGGTCTCTCCTTTCAGAGAGGACAGGGGCCTACACCACGCCAACGAGAATGTGGGGTGCTCAGTGAATCGAGGGCCTGCCTGTGGTTTGCCCTTGATACCTCAGCCATGAGTCCCTTGCCCTTGACGGGCCTCGACAGTATCTCAGAAATGGCTGGGTGAGCAACACCAGGTACTAAGAGAAGCCACATTCCTGTTTGTGCTTACACGAAGCAATCTTGTCAAGCTCCGCCGATGGCTCGGTCTTGACGGGCACGATGGCTCCAGACTCGGCCACGGCGCTCCCAATCTTGGCTGCAGACGTTTAGACGACACACACAATGGATGGATCAGACAGCGCCTTCATCCCGGGACGAGCGTACCTGCCTCCTCGGCCCTGACATATTGATCCATGTCAGCGTCACGCGCTTCCTACAGCCACACACGCAGCAGATGAGGCATCCATCCATACCATCCCATCTTTGTCATGAGAGTCGTGGCCCACCTGCTCCTCGTCGATCTCTTCGTCTTGGAGTTCATCCTCACTGTCCTCGTCCTCCTCGCCTTGGTCATCGTCCATCAGGCCATCCTCTTCCTCATCTCCGTCGCCGTCTGCCACGCCTTCATCCATGATATCTTCTTCATCGAGATCGCTAGCATGATCTTCGTCGATCTCCTCATCCTCCACAAAAGCATCCTCCTGTCGGCCTCGCTTGGACATGGTTCCTGTCTTCGAGCAAACGAGTTCTTCTGCGAGCTAAGCTCACAGACCTCAGGCTCGCAACTGGTTCGGCGGGCCCCGGAGATTGGTAGCGGCCTCTCGGCACTCCCCATAGCCTCGTGATCCTCACCGGAGCGGTTCCTGTGTCATCAGCTTGCTGCGACGATGTCAGCGAACTCTCCTGTTATCCCGTCGACTGAGCCGTCACCAGCTGAGGGTGTTGTCGCTCCCAATGATCCCCTCGTCAAGGAGTGTGAGGCCCTCCTGCAGAAAATCTCGAGCAATATCGGCTTCGCCACGGCCGAGGACCTCCAGAGCCTCAAACAAAAGATGGCGCAACTTGCAGAGGTACATAGAGAGAGGAACCACACGAAAGGAGAAAGCATGGAGGGAATCATTCTGTGTCTGTTTTGCCAGAGATATGGCGAGAAGGGCCTTGACCACCTCCACGCCTATGCGGCGGCCCTCAACTCGATGACGAGCCAGTGGATGTACCTGCACGCCATGCGCGTCAACGAGGGGTTCGGCATCAGCCAGCACGGCCTCGTGCAGGGCGTGGGCCTCATGAATCGCGAGGAGGCGCTCGCCAACAGGGTGGCTGAGACGATGAAGAAGGCCTTCTGGGACAACACACAGTGGTACCTCGACCAGTCACCGCCACAGTATGACATCGTCCTGCAGCACCTCAACGAGCTCAGAAACACCATGGCCAGATACATACCTGGTACTGAGAAGCAAACACCCCCATGAATGACGCAGACAGACCAATCTGTCTGTCTGTCTGTGGCTGTGGCTGGCGCAGAGAAGCGTCGCGAGGCGTTCTTGGAGAGTCTTGACCTGGACCTGGTCAAGAAGCAAGTAGAGACCAAGACATTCGACCCCTCAGCCCTGCAGTCCGTCATCGGGTTCCTCGTCACCTCGCTGCACGACCTCGAGTCGCCATTCAGACACGAGCAGACCGTCAAATGGTTCACCGAGATGCAGCAGAAGCTCGCCGGCCTTGGCGAGCAGGACGCGGCCGCGTTCCTCCAGGGGTTTCATTTGGCCATTATCGAGAGCCTGAAGTACCTGTTTAGTCGGCTGGACATATTGGAGAGCGAGATCCAGCAGTGGCGCATGAGTCAGATCAACGGCATCCAGCGGCAGAAGATGGAGCAGCAGCACTTCGCTAAGATGCTCGACAGAGGTGCGTGAGTGGGTAGGGCGAAGGCACAGCAACATTCACACCGACAGTTGCGTGTGATGTCCATCAGGCGAGATCGGTCTGGCACGCACCAACTCCTTCCTTTTCACTGACGCCCCCGCGTTGACGCTGCCCCGCTCGCCCAGCCCGCCATCCGCGGCCCCTCCCTCACAAGCCGAGATCGCCGCTGCCCTGCCGCCAGTGTACCCCGTGTTTGTACAGAGGATGGCCGAGCTCATAGCCAGCGACAAGCCCCTGCAGATGGGCGACTGCCCGGAGCCCCTGCGGCTGGACTTGTCGCGTCTGCACGGGGTGCAGGACGGCCTGCAGCGTGCGGCTGTGCTGGCGCTGGTGGCCGTGTTGGCGACGCCCCTGTTCCCCAGCCAAGTGGCGGACAAGGGGCTGGTGGAGCAAGTGTACAAGGCCGTCGAAGCGTCGCTGCAGGAGCCACACATATCCATCACGAGTGAGCGAGCGAATCGGAATAAAACATGAGAGAAGGACAGACAAGCAATGGGGATACTCAAATGTGGTCTCTCCGTATGTGTGCAGGTCTCAGTGAGGTGTTGGTGTTGTGCATTGATCGTGTGATCATTGAGAATGCCCGTCAGCAGCAGACGCAGACCGCCATTCCCGAGGACACACAGTCCGCCGCGACGCCAAGCCCTACGCTCCTCGCCGACGAACAGAAAGAGAGCCTTAAGGTAACACCCCTAACACGTCATAAGATGTTTCGCAATCTCATGGTGTTTGCCCTTCTCTGTGTCCGAAGGAGAAGCTGCGCAAGTGTCTGGCGAGCGATAGTGCCGTGCTGCAAGTGCTGCTCAAGCGTGTCTTCGGCGCCTTCCAGACGGCCGTCGAGGGCGCCCTAACCGCGCGCACGACACCCGGCAGCAGACCGCCCAGCCGGCCGGCCAGCCGCCCGCCGAGTAGACCCATGTCTGCACGTGGCGGTTCCCGGCCGGACGAGGAGGCGGCGTTCCCTCTGTCGTCGACAGCGATGGGCGATAGCCCCTGGGAGCTCAAGTTCTCGGTGGATGCGATCAACCGGACGACAGTGCAGCTGTTGAGTGTGCTGGAGGGGCACTGGCAGGTCTACGGACTCGTCTACAAGTGAGAAACGAAAAGGACGACGCCATCGACGTTCACACAGCAGAGGGGCTTGGCTGGATGTGTGTGTCAGGAAGCTGTGGTTTGACCACTACGTCTCGGCCCACACCAGTCCGGCCGAGAGTGCGACCGCCCAGGAGTGACGAAAAGCGCGGCTTGGTAATCAGCTTGTGAGCATATGGATGGGGATGGACGAAATACGAAGGCAGGCAGCGGCATGGTATTGGTATGGCTTACTTTGCTGATCCACTTTTTGGGGTAAATAAAGCATCCCCTCTTTTGCTCTATTGGTGTCGTTGTGTGTGGTTGACGTAAAGGCGAGTGGGTGGGTGATACACACGGGTGTCCTGCAATGGTTTGGGCGCCTGCCGACCTGGTGTGTTTGTGCCTGCCTGCCTGCCTATTGGTATATCTATCAGATTAGTGCATCGATCGGCAATGTTGCTCTTATTTGGGAAAGGGATACTCATGATGTGACTGGGATACGGCTGTTTGTGTGCGCGTACGTCTTGTATCTTCATATCGTGGATGGGTATTGGGTGTATAGATTGCTGCTGTTCGATGAGAGATCTGTAGCTTGGACGGACGGACGGGCTATGAAAACGGGACACTGAGACGATGACAAACAAGCTTGGCCATGCAGCAAATGTATTCGTGCCCGAGCAGCTCGGCGATCGGCAGGGCCCCCAACAGAGGGACCGAACCCCCCGATTCGGAAAAACTGCCACTGCCATCCGCATCCTCCGACGGTCACTCGGCAGTCACTCGGCTTGGCGAGACCATCACACTACTCAACGCTGCTTCTGGTCTGTTTCCTGGACTATGCATTACTGGAGACGTTACTGCAGAAGCGGGACAGGCGACGCTACAGGAGAGATGCGAAGTCACGCTTTTCCGAGCCACGTGCGCTGCTGAAGGCCCTCTCGGGCGCCACGAGGCTGATCGACTGGCAACAGGCTCTAGAAGTGAGCTATCGGCTCCTCTATCGGCTCTTCTATCAACAGGCTGTTGGACGTCTCTCCCCTTTCCTCCCCCATTCCGCCCTCGTGTTGTCCTCTGACATTCAGCCATCCATCCATCCATAGCTGCGTCGCATCATGAGTGACTACCAGTGGGCGACGGATCAGACCCTTCGCTACCTCGGCGGGGCCCTCTTCTGGGTGGCCGTCCTCCTGCTGTATTTGTTGGTGTGGAAGGCCCTCCCCGCAAGGACATTCGTCACGCCCCCGCCCCGCAAACACAGAAGACGACGCGATGGAGACAGAGACACATCGTTCGTCGGGGGACTGCGCAAGACGGGTGTGCGGCGGGGCAGCCGAGATGAGGTTGAGGCCACAGGGCCCTCAGTGGGGCCTTCAGACCGTTCATCGGGGGAGGCTGCGGCGAACCAGACGAGCAACACGGTCACCAACAACACGGGCGGAGAGCCGTCGGATGAGCAGCCCATCCCGCCCATATCCCATCGAGGAGACAAGAGGGATGATGTGGCAGAGGGGTCGCAGGTTGGCTCGCTGCCGCCCATTACTGGGCACTTGAGGGGCGCACCCATGCATGTGCCCGGCTCTGTCGTCGACGCCACCATCATCGGCATGGCCAGCGATTTGCCAAACAGCTGCCATGACGGCACCACGGCTGCCGACAACCATCACCACCCCAGTGGATGGAAAAGCTCCACCCCGACCGAGACAGCCACGTTTCAGCTACCGGGAGAGATTGAGCGAGACCAGGAAGGTGACGGTGTCTACTCCAGGCCGCCGACGCACCTCCCGCCCATATTCGGGGAGCCAGGGAATCGTACAAAGGTGGCGACGGCGACCAGACTGCCGCAGGCCCAAGCCTCGCAGCCGCAAGTCGTCCACCATGGACACGGCGCGGGATTCCCCTCTCAATCTCACCACATTGGCATCGGGGTCCGGAAGCCGTTCGTGCAGCCTTTTCTCCACCACTCTGAGCACGGCAACCTTGTCAAGACGATGCAGCGCTTCTACGGAGACGTGAGGCCGCGGAGATCGGGCATGCGCACTCCCAGAGACCACGACCCGTGTGATTGGGACCCTACCAGCGATGCATCGAGCGACTTCAGCCAGACCAGCTCACAGTCGGCCTTCTCCGTGCAGACGCATCGGCGCAGCGGCGGGGGGCGGTTCAGTGACCATGTGCACTATCACCTGCCTGGACAGGCGGCTGTGGTCCACGACGGGAGACCGGGGCAGGTTTGCTATCCGATGCAGGTCGATGCGGTGCAGTAGACAGACGGGAGACGCAGAGACACCGACAGGTAGGTAGGTAGGCTGCAGACAGACAGACATGTGGAATGCCACTGTGCTGATGGATGCTTGTCTCTGTGTGTACGTGTGTCAGGGCCCACTATGCTCTGCCTGGCGTCTCCATTCTACGGTCTTGCGGTGCAGACTCATATAACGAATCATCGGGTCACGGTGTGTGGCCACTGGTGGGTGCATCAGTGCATGTATCGGCCGATCGGATGCCTCTCTCTTTCTTCCTAACCAGCCAATCCAATCGCACGTCGTTGCTTGCACGTGCGCCATTTTGATTGGTGTGTGTGCGTGTCTTCCAGCTGATTGTATTGCTCACTGCCTCTTCAGAGAGAGTTCGGGTTTTCGTTCAGTGTGTCTGACCCCGTGTGAGCGTATGTTGGACAGTCTCCTTGACGTCTTGCCCTTACTAGCATGAATCAAGATCACGGCTGGTGGGGTACGGAAGAAATGTCCATCAAAGAAAAGACTGGTGACAATTGTCGAGTAGCGAAGGAAACGTTGCCACAGAGACCCGGCCAAGGGCCTCCATGGCGTCGTTTGCCTCCTGCCGGCCAGCTGCGAATGGGGCAGACATCAAGATATTCCTCAGTGACTCAGTAACGCAGCGCTCGACACACACAGACATGGATACACGCTGCCAGCCAATCACCCCTGAAAAAAACAGTCCCTCTCGGGACACTAGCACAATCATCTCACTTATCCACACTCGCCATATCATTCGTTCTCTTCCTTGTACAGCTCGTACCAAGCCTATCACACGCAGACGCACCGAGGATGGTGACTCGAGCAACCGTGCATGTCTGCCACTGGCTCTGGCTGGCTGACCATTTGAATGGCTTCAAGCTTCTTCTCGTTGCACTCCTTCTGCGTCCCAGAAAACGACTCGAGAGCCATCACCTTCTCGGCCTGAACACCCCGCACACAGCCACACAAAACACAACGCGTAACACGCGACGTGTGCACCAGGTTTGCATCTGTGTCCGTCCGCTCCCTCTCACCAGTTGTGTGAATCGCAGATTGAGCGGGTTCAGTTTGGGCTCGGCCTCGAACAGCTTCTCCGCCACCTCCTCGCTGTCATGCCATTGCAGCGCACCACTGTCTGCTTCACCGCCACCGGCGTCGCTCGAAAACGCCCGGATCCGGCTACTGCAGGAGGTGAGCGGCGTTGGTGGAGATTGAAGATGGGTTGCCGTGCGAGCAGATCCAGGGGCCGCGATGGGCTCACGTGGCTGAGAGCTGTGCATGCTGCGTCGGACCGTCCTGACGCAGGATGACGCGTGTGCGCGGGCTGCCCCACAAGCAAATAGGGAAGGAGGTTTCGTCCTCACTGCTTGCCTCCTGGCAGCCTGCATGGGGGGGAGATCTGCTTCTTCCAAGGAAGCTCGCAGCACTTTTCAGCTCGCGATCCGAGAAAGCGACGAAAAAGAGGGCACAAACGACGATTCCAGGCTGTAGTTGAGTGTATGGCTAAGAAACAGAAGCGATTCCTGAGGAACCAAGCAAGAAAAATAGAGGAGATGCAGGCAGAGGCGTCGTCTTCCCATGAGCCCTCCAGCAGCAGCACCCATTCCGTCCGCCGCCCAGCGTCGCTGCTCGAGTGCATCACGCAGCGGCGGCAGGGCTACCCCACCCGTCTGAGTAATGGGCCGTTTGGTGCTAATGTGCGGCAGAGCATTGTCGGCAGTCCTGTGTTTGTCAAGCGGCTCGAACTGAGCAAGAAGCTCACCTCGCACAGAGGCTGCGTCAACAGCATCGTAAGAGAGATGACATGAAAGAAAGGGGGATGGACGATCCATTCATTCATCTCGTTTCCTTCGCTCGTGTGTGTGTGTGTCTGTTGGTGTGGTTAATTCGATTCGCATGACCAGGACTGGAATGGTAGTGGGACTCGTTTGGTGTCGGGATCGGACGACGTCCACCTGGTGAGCGAGCACAAGCATGGAATGGGTGACTCAGGGAGTGGCTGAGCAGAACCGACGCGAGAAGAGAAGCACTGACTGCTTCAACGTTCACTTTGCTTCGGCTCCTTCTGCGTGCGTGTGTGTGTCAGTGTTTCTGGTCGTCTGACTATCGTCTGCTCCACCGCGTCCCCACCGCACATACACACAACATACTGGTGCGCACCCAACACCCCACACACGCACACGGCACTCGCATTGGTCATGTGGCCTTTCCCTCCCTGTGTTTCTGTGTCACAACGCAGGGCACCCGCTTCGTGCCGCACTCTGACGACAGCAAGGCCGTGTCATGCGGCGCCGATGGCAGAGTCGTGTAAGCTCACCCAACACACACACACATCAGGGGAAGGGGTGGCAGCACACACATCACATCAAGGGGTGGCAGTGTAGCGTCCATGAGGCTTTGCTTGCTCGCTGCCTGTGTGTATCGTGTTGTGATGTGTTGTGTCGTGGTGTTGTGTTGTGTGTTGTGTTGTGTGTCAGGTTGACGGATGTGCGTGTGGGTGATGGGGGCAAGGTGCTGTGGGGCGCCGGGCCGATGTCCGTCAAGATCGACTTCTTACCCGACGACAGAAACCTCTTCCTATGCACTGTACAGGTGGGTGCACTACACACACACAGACGGACGGTCTTCTCTTAGCCTCCTCTCTCCTCGCCTCACCTCAGTCAGCTGTGTAGTGAGTGTATGTCTTGCGTGCTGTGTGCTGGTCGGTCAGCCGTTTCATGTGCGTTTGTTCGACCTGCGCACTGACAAGAGTACCGTGGCCGTCCGTCTCAACGAAACCATCGACGGACCAAACGGAGGTTTGTACCACACCGCACCACACCACACCACAAAACACCACACAGCACTCTCCTTTGTTGTGTGTGCAGACATAGCCTGCAACGCTGTCCGTGTGAGTCCATCCAATCCCCATCTGTTCGCCGTCGGCAGCAACGATCCCATAGTTCGCATCTATGACCTCCGCAAGGACAAGTACAGACACACCGTGCACACACAGCCATCCCTAAGTGGGTCCTTTCATCCCTCTCTCTCTGTGTGTTTGTGTGTGTCAGCGAGACGCCTCTGCAGCGTTGGGGCGCGCCCAAGGAACTCACCGAGAGCGAATACGGCATCAAGTCTGTGCAGCCCCCACCGATTGACATGCATGATTGCTCAGATGTTTCGTTTGTACGTGTGTTGAGCATGCGTGTGTGAGTGCAGGGACACTGTTCGTCGAACCATCCGCGGCGAGCCCGTTGGTGTGAGTGACGTCGACTGGTCCACCAAGGGAGAACTGCTCGTCAACTACCGGTGCGTTGTGGATCCACACCAACACACAACACAATGGGCGATTTGAATGTCTGATGTGTGTGTGTATGTGCAGTCCTGGCGACATCTGCATGTTTGACACGCGGACGTACACCGCCATTACTGTCAGGGAGATCGAACTCTGCTCACAAGTGACCCACATGACACAACCACACACACATGGATGCGTTTGCGGTTGTCTTTCTGGGCGGCAATGCAATGCAATGCAATGCAATGCGTGTGTGTGCAGGTGGTGCAGAGCTACAAGGGTCGGCTCAACAGCGAAACATTTGCAAAGGAGGTGAGAGGTCACCACAGCACACAGACCAACACAACACAACACAGCACCTGTAATGCATTCGATTCATTGCCACAAATATATAAACCGACAGGCTCGTTTCATATTCTGCGACGAGGGCTACGTGGCGACGGGTGGCGACTGCGGTCACATCTTCATCTGGGACAAGAAGACGGGCCGCCTGCTGCGCAAGATGAAGAGCGACCGCGTCATCGTCAACTCCATCGCACCACACCCATCCCTACCACTACTCGCATCCTCAGGTGAGGTCAAGGCACACACCGACACACTCACACACACACACACTCTCGCACACACACACACTCTCGCACACACACGCGTCCACACGCGTGAATGCATTTGTGTGTCAGGCATCGATGACGACATCAAGATCTGGTCAGTTGGCGAGACGATTCACCAGCGGCAGCTGGGCCAGGTGCCGCCCTCCGGCAAATACGACGCAGAGATCATCGAGGAAGACACGTACGTCAAGTGGAGATCGAACCCCCTTACACAAGCATGTGACCCACTCCATTGTCTGTGTCCTTCCTTCGTTCAGTGAGCCAGCAGAGACGATCAACCTGACAGCCCGCCGCGAGGCAGCGCCGGCCATCGTCACCACAGACGAGGCCAGACAGCGGCTCGAAGAGTAAGCGACGAGGACCGAAAAGCGGACACATACAGCGTATGTGTGTTGGTGTGTTGGCTGCAGGGGTGAGAAGTGCAAGCAGCAGGGCAACACGTCGTTCCGGTCGGGGCAGTGTGAGGACGCCGTGCGACACTACACGCGGGCGACGGGGGTCCTCTCCTTCGTGGCGCCCAACCGTGCGATCGAACAGGAGAGGAAACGCCTGACTACCCTCTGCAAACTCAATGAGGTGCGTCGACGCACCATGAAGGCACACCAGCCCAGGCCAGCCCATCACGCCACCCCATGTGTGTGTGGGTGCAGGCGGCGTGTCATTTGGAGTTGGGGCACTACGGCATGACGATCCGCCGGTGCACGGAGGTGCTGGCCGTGGACCCCCACCTGGTCAAGGCCCTCTACCGCCGTGCGCGCGCCCATTTGGAGTCCAAGGACTTCGATGAGGCCAAGAAGGACGTCATCAGAGCACTCGACGTCACACCGAACGACACACAACTCAGGTAGGTCAGGCGAGGCAAAACAGTGAAGACATCCACCATCCATCCATGCATCCATCCATCCATGCATCTCTCTCTCTGTTTCGTTTGTGTGCGCTGGATGCAATGCCATGCAGTAAGCTGCTCCGTGAGGTCAAGAAGATCCAGGCGGACGAGGAGGCCAAGGAGAAACGCAAATTCAAGTGCGTAACCTAAGCTAACCGAACCACACCACACCATCCATCCATCCCTGTCTCTGTTTCTCCTCTCCCCCACCCTTCCTTCACGCAGGGCATTCTTCGCGACCGAGGCCAAGCGATCGGACCACCCCGAACCAGTTGCCGCCTTGCCGCGCCCCAGTGATGATGCAGAGGACGACGACGATGACATGTGGGTAGAATTTACGCCCGACGGCAAGATGGTGGTCAAGCCGCCCCCGAGCGGCTCGTCCATCATCGGCCAGAGTGACAGCAGCAGCGGTAGCGGCGGTGCCACCGGCTCAGCCACATCAAGCCCCGACCAGCCGCCCCCGGCTGACCATGACGGCGCATCCCCGGAGTCCCCTACACCATCGTCCCCTGAGAAGCAGCCTGCAGCTGAGATGGGCAGCCCCGAGAGACCGACGGCTGCCACGGTGCGAGATGTCGACTACACCCCTGACCCAAGGGCCAAGGGGGGCAAGGACAAGGCACTGGAGGGGGAGGCAGATACAGAGGGGGAAGAGCAGAGTGTGAGTGAGGGACCCTCGGTGCCTGGTGTCTGATGATGCGGGGATGGATGGATGGATCGGATCGCAGCGAGACAGACCGACCGAGAGACGTACCAACGTATTTTTCTCCCGAGCGCTCGATGTGTGTGTAATCGATCGGGACAACGGGGGATGGGGAGTGGGAGGGCTCGTGTTCACGTGTGTGTGTGTGTGTGTCAGTGTACATTTGACTCAACACACACACACACACACGCCTTTTTTTCGTAGGAAGACAGACAGACAGACATCCCTCTGTCTCTCTCTGTGTAAACAGCCAGTTGGCTTATATATTCTGACTGACACATTCAGACACCTCCAGTCCATGGGGCAGGTCAACACACACACACACGCATGTATTGTATGACGCCCTCTCTACTCACAGCACGCACACAAACGAGAAATCCACACACATGCAAGCAGACAGACAGACAGGCAGGCAGACGGGCGGAGGAATCTGATCTGATTGCCTCGGTCAGTTGGACAGATCCCTCCCTCGCTCCCTCAGGCTTTCTTTCTGTACACTCGATGAGACAAAATCTCCCTCCTCCTCCGCACGGCCCGGACGGACGCACTTGCATTGCATTGCAATCAATGCATCCAATCCACGCATCACATCGCGTCCACACTCACGCACACACTCACACAACACGTACACCATAAACTGGTCACCCTACTAGTCATTCCTTCCTGAGCTGCCTGTGCTGCATTCGCCCGACCACTCTCTCGAACAGGCACGGCACTCACCGCCCCCAGCCTCCCCTACGCGGCCCCTGTCTGTTTCTTCACTCACTCTTCCAGTGCCTGCCAGGGGTGTGTGCCAGGTGGGAGGGGTATCCACACCTCATCGTGCCTCAGCCGACTCAGCTTCATCCCCCGCGTCACAAACACTCGAGGCACGCACTCACACAGCTCCCCCTCGTCCCTCGGCAGCAGCCCGTCCTTCTGCAGGTCACCCACCAGCTTCTGCATGCTCGTCTCGATGTCGCGGCAGTTGCCTGGGTCATTCACCACAGCAGAGGCCAGGATGGACGAGCCGCTGGACGACAGCCCCAGGGTGGGGTCGGTGGGTTTGGGGAGGATGGGCATCCAGTCGGGGCCCGGCCCACGGATGGGACCGAAGATCTCACACTTGGTGCCTGCCGTCGCCAGCGACGCCCTTCCCAGCAGCGCGTCGCCGCCGTCCAGCTCGTACTTGACGATGTAGGGCAGGCAGGGGACAAATTCCGCCCTGCCCCTGGCGGCATTGGCGGCGGCGGCATAGCCCTCGATCTTCTCCTCCGCGTGGATGACGCGCTCGGGGGTGAGGTTGCCCTCGGCGCCCGTCAGTGCCGTGGTTGACAGCCCCTTGAGGGCCCCGTACTTACGCACCTGGTAGGTCTTGGCACGCCGCAGCAGCTCGCTGGGCGCTTCCCGTGCAGATGCCTTGAGGGGGTCTGGCTGTGGCCGCAGCTGCATGATGAGGTCAGCGATGCCGAGAGTGCGGGGCTTTTCCTCATAGACGCCACTCTCGAGGTTGACGCTGTCCCAGAAGTCTTTCTGCTGCACCACACGGGCCTCGTCGTCGATGGTATACCGAGATATGCCTGAAAGGCGCCAAGGAAGCACATGAGAACGACGCTGCGTCAGCTGTCCTGTCTTCTGCTCCCTCCTGTTCTGGATGGACTGACCTACCTGTGAAGACGGCCTCTGGCTGCCACGGCAGGACCTTCATGGTGAGCCCCAGCGTCCACCTCGTCTCAAAGCGGTACTCGTCCAGGTCTGTGAAGGTGTACAGGTGGATGTAGGCGTCACGAAACACCACCCTGCCCAACAAACTCCGCCCGCCGAGCAAGTCGACGTTGCCCTGGTACTTGTCGACGCCCTTGAAGCTGTTGAGCGGGTCGATGAACTCCACCTGTGGTGTGTAGAACTGCCTCTCCATCGGGTCAAACATCGACGCGTACTCGCGGGCAATGACCTCCTTCAGCTGGCTCTTCTTGAGCTCTAAGTCGGTGGGGGGCGTGGCCGTGCGCGTCGCCTCTAGCGCTGATGGTGATCGTGGTGTGTGTCTGAATGCGCCACGTCGTGTCGATGGCATGAAGGGTGGAGATGCGATGAAGGCGGGCCGCCGCGGGGCAGCATGGCTCCTCGAGATGAGAGATGAGGCGACGCTGGTGCAGACGGCTGAAAGGATGAGTAGCAGCAGAGATGGGCCGTGCACAGGGAGCAGCATCATGCACAGAACTGTCTTGCCGACCAAATCCCGACGCGAATGGACTGAGATCTGCAGCGGGCCCTTTGAGCCCTTTCCTTTCCAAGCTCGCACTTGTCGATCTGAAACCGCTGCTGCCGTCGATCTGCTCCTGCCTCCGCATTCTCCTCTGCCTCAGCACTGTCCGTCTTCTGCATTCCATGGATCTGTGAAGAAGTCGCCGATCGCATCACCGAGAAGTCGTGCAGAAGGCTGTGAGCAGAGCAGCAGAAAAAGGCAGGATGCCGTTTGGGATGCCCATGAGGGACTTTGTGAAGCTGTTCGGCGCGTGCACGGTTCCGTTTATCGCCGGCGGTCTTGTGGTCCACTTCTACATGCGGCCAGATCTGGACGAGCCCGACCTGGCGGAGGAGGTCATGGCGCAGAAGAGGGCCCTGCGTGAAGTCAAAAGGATGGCCGACGAGAGGAGGAGGCAAGCAAGGGCTGTCGAGGGGACGGGAGGGTGATCAGAGGATGACGGTGACACTGTGTACATGTCAGCATTTGGGATGGGATGGGTCTCTCTCTCTTTGGTGGTTCATTCATTTAGCATTGACTGTCTTGTCTGTGTGTCCTGTACAGCCTGATGGATGGATGGATGTGTGTGAGCATTGGTGCGTTGACGACGCCCGCTATGACTGGATGGGTTTATGATGCACTCGCTGAACAAGCAACCCAGTCAGCTGAATGGCGCACTCTATCAGATTAACTTACTGCATGGGGGTTGAAACCATCATTCATTCAGCAGAGACAGGCAAACTGGGTGGGAGGGAGTCAGTCAGGCACAGAGGTCCGGTCCATCCACCAGGCCAGGCGACACACAAAGACTCCGCCGCCAACCACCGCCTTCTCTTCATCACCACAGCAGCGTATCTACAAGTAAACACGGTGAGTGCGAGACCTAGGCAGGCAGGCAGGCAGGCAGGCAGACGACAGGGAGCAAGGAAGCAACCAACGAAAGATGACAGCAGGCAGGGGATCGGGATCGATTAGCCAGCCAGCCGGCCAGCCAGCCAGGCAGGCAGGCAGGCAATAATCAGACTACGATGGGAGCAACCCGCAAGGGATCAATCAACGGGGGGATGTGATTGATGTGTGTGCTCATTCTGATGATGAATCAATTGCGCACCAGCCAACAGCCAACCAACAGCTTCCAACAGCCGCCAAACAAACAATGACCAAACCAACCAACGGCGGACTGACTGACTTGATCGATCCACCGACAAACCAATCAACCAACCAACAAGACTCGATACGAGGTATTTCCACCTCTCTCTCTCTCTCTCTCTCTCTGTCTCTCTCTCCGCTTCACGCAACGCAGCGCAATGCGACGCAAATGCAATAATGCAATCTGACCCCACCCCACCACACCAGAGCACACTACACCACACCATGCCATGCCACCCCACTTGCTCAATCACGCCCGCCCCAGCCAGCGATCAGTCCTCCCTCAGTCACTTGACGGGCGATGCGTTAACTGGCACGTCCGTGTAGATGTAGAGGACGAAGGAGCCCACGGCCGCCTCGCCCAGTGTCGACCCCACATCGAGGACCACCGTGCTGTCGTCACGCGTCGGCTCCAACTCGGCAAGCGTCAACGTCACCACACGCTGCACAGCACACATAAGCAATCGTCTCGTAAGTCTGTGTGGGTGTCGTCTGTCGCTCTCTCCCTGCCTGTCTCACAGACCTGCTCCTGGTACAGGTTGGTGGCGGCGGATGAAGTGGTGCGTCCGTCGTCAGATAGCCCGCCCTCAAGGTCACTCTTTTTGATGGTGACCAGGGAGCCGGGGCCCGACGGTCCGCCCCGCTGCTTGGACAGCACCATGGACGGCATCGCGTCGGGCGGACTCAGCTCCACCACTTGCAGACGCAAACTCACCTGAAGACATGCAGAGAGAGAGCCAGCAAGACATCCATCGAGCCTCTCACACGCCACAGTGGCGTGCCAATCCCCCCAACCCAATCCAACAGACATACCAGAGTAGTTTGTGTGGTCCTGATAGCGTATCTCTGCCTAAATGTGGCGGCGCCCCCCGCGCCCCCGCCGGTGTCCGGGTACACAAATGTGACGTACTCGATGGGCGGCGGCGGGGGGCACACGTGCGGCCAGGGGAGGGGCGTGACGACGGGCAGGGGGAACAGCCGGCCGGGGAAGTAGGGCGAGTGCACACACAGCTGGTATGCGCCCGTCTCGCCGTGACGGAATGTCGACAACACTATCGTATGCAAACCCTTCTGCACACACATACACATACACATACACATACACAGAGAGGGAGAGAGACGTATAGAGTGGCGTGACAATCGTGTGTGTCGATGTGTGTCGATGGTGACCTCGAGTTTCTCCTTGACGGTGCAGCAGCCAGCCCGATATGGGCCTGACGACAGCGCCTTGCCCGTGCGCAGCAGACGGGGCGACGCAAATGCGCTGCGGAAGATGCGCACGTTGACAGAGTGCTCCTGCACACACACACACACACACACACCATCACACGCCATTCACTGCATACCTGCGTGCGTCTCGACTCGTGTGGTGTGGTGTGGTGACCGCCGTATGCATACATACATACATACCACAGGGCACTCGAGGAAGATGACGACCTCTGCGGCCTCGGGCATGTGTATGCGGTAGTGTGGATTCATGAAGTACTTCCAGAGGTCGTTGCTGCAGCCCCCGGCCGTCTCCTTGACCCACTCGCCAGTGATGTACTGGCTGCGCCACGAGTCGGGAATCATCGGCGGCAGCTCCTGAAGCGTCGTGTGCACGTGGCTGTAACTCTTCAGCGTGAAGTTAAAGTCCTCCTGAGTATTGTTGTCGACACACACACACACACACAGAGCAGCCGTTCGTCGTGTGTGGAGGGGTAAATGTGTATCTGTGTATGTGGAGAGGGGATGGTCACCCATCCCACCTTCTGTGAGTACTGTGAGACGACGAGGACGTAGTCGAGGGTCTTGAGGCTGTGTTCACTGTTGCCGAGGCACCTGAGCTTGACCAGGCTGCACTCACCGTTCGAGTACACCCCCTGCTTGGCCGGCGGCGGCGGGCACGTCACCCGCTCGCTCCCCGTGTGCACGTGAACCGCCAGGTACTTCTGGGACAAGGCCTTCTTCCGCTCTCGCACATGGCGGCTCAGCAAGATCCACACCTCCACCTCCTCGCTGAAGAAATCCTCCCTGCTGCTGCTGCTGCTGTTGTCCTGCCCACCCCCTGTGTTGGTGCTGTGTGGGGCGTCTGAGGGGCGGCTGTCTGGGGGGGGCCTGCGGCGGTTGGGGTCGATGGACGGGGGGTGGATGCGGAGGTGGAATTGGGGGTTGAAGGCCACCAGGTGGGAGTCGTCGGCCAGGCAGGACTGAGCCAGGTGCGACGAACGGTCCCAACTGATACGATAGAGGGAGAGAGGGGAGCAGGAGAGGCGTGTGTGGATCGTTGGAGGGGTGTGGTGTGGTGTGTTGTGGTGTGGGGTACCGGCTGTGTGCTTCCGACTGGTAGGGGAAACAGGTGGCATTCCAGCAGATGTAGAGGTGCGAGAACCACTGCACGATGTCGTTCCACTCTATCCAAAAACACCCGTTGTCATACGACGCCTGCAGCACACACGACACACATGACACACACGCACACACATACACAAATGGGTAAATAAGAGACAGACAGACACTCGCTCACTCAGCCCCCCCCCCCCCCCCCC